GGCAACGGTCTGTCATTACATAGAAATGGCATGTGTGCATGGCGCCAGCAGGACCAGCGGGCACAGGTAAGTAACCTGAAGGAGGGGCCCGGGTGCCCACGGCTCCTACTCCTACCACACTGCCTTCTGACTCCCCGCATGCACCCGTGTCCTCGTGGGCTGTGCCATACGATCAGCTGTCAGGGGAGCGGAAGGCCAGGGTCTGGCTTGCGGATGGCTCCGCACGCTACGCAGACACCACCACAAGTGGACGGCTGCAGCCTACAGCTCCTTTCCAGGACATCCTGAAGGACAGTGGTGAAGGAAGCCTTCAGTGGGCAGCACCGGAGGCCATGCACCTGGCAGTGCATTCTGCATGGATGAAGTAATGGCCAGATGTACGACTGTACTGACTCCTGGGCCACAGCCTATGGTCCAGCCTGATGGTCAGGGACTTGGAAGGATCATGACTGGAACACTAACCACAAGACAGCCAAGGAAGAGGTGCGCAGACAGACCTCTTCCCAGGGGCACAGGCTATAATTTGTATCCGACACTCACCATAAAGTGACCTCTGCAGAAGGAAACTTTAATAATCAGGTGCATACGATGGCCCTTTCTGTAGACAGAGACCAACCTTTCTCTTCAGCCACCCGTCACTGCCCACTGAGGCAGAAACAAAGTGGTAGTGGGGACAGGGAGGGAAGATATGCGTGGGCTTAGCAACACACACGCTTCACGCATCGAGGCTGATCTGGTGACAGCCACTGCTGAACGCCTGCTAAGCCCGCACTGGCCCCCGTGGGCAGGGCAGAGCTTGTCTTGCTGGCACGGCCACCTATGCAGTGATGGACCGCCCTTCCCTGCACGTAATGCCTCTGCCTAAACGACCACCTGTGGACTCACAGATGCCTTAGCCACTGTCGTGGAAGTCCACGCAGCACCGCCTCTGCCCAGTGAGCATTTAATGGCCAGGGAAGCGAGGCCATGGCTTGTGCTCACAGAACTCTCGGGCTATCTAATCCCTCACCTCCAGAAGAGGCTGGGTTGCTAGACAGGTGGCATACTCTTTTGAAGATGCATTTGAGAGCACCAGCCAGGTGGCACTAGCTTGCAGGGCTGGGGCAGGGTTCTCCAAAAGGCTGTCTGCTTGGAGTCGGCATCTATTGCATGGTACTGTGTCTCCCACAGCCGGGGCCCCTGGGCCCAGAAATCAAGGGCTCCAAGTAGGAATGGTCTCACTCACTCATTAACCCTAGAGATCTTCTAGCATGTTTTGCTTCCTATTCCCATGACCTTATGCTGGCCTAGAACTCTTAATTCTAGAGCTGAAAAGGGCTGTACCAGGAAGCACAACTGAACTGGAAGGTGAGACCCCCCTCTGCTCTTTCTGGTCTTCTCACGCCTCTGAGCAAACAAGCTAAAGAGGGAGCTAGTGTGGGCAGGGGTGACTGACCCAGACTATGGAGAGGGAGCTGGACTACTGCTCCAGTGGAGGAAGGGTATACTTGGAGCACAGGAGATCTCTTAGGTGCCTTCTTGGATTATCACACCGTTATTAAAGTCAATGGGTAACTACAACAACCCATTTCAGACAGGAGGACAAATGGCCTAGAACCTTCAGGAATGACCCCCCCCCCCCCAGCAAGACCAAGGGAATATAGAATGGGTGGAAGGCGGTACTGTAGCTCTAGATACCTGCTACAAAATGTGGATTCTAACCATTCTCTCCTAACATGAGGTTACAGACTTCATACTGGTTGAGTATTGTGAAACCCATGTTATAATGTTCCAGTTATGAAACATTAGGCATAACCATCAACTAAAGAAACCCTGCCTTTCACTCAGGGGAGTGATGAGTGCATCTATTCGCATGCAGGACAGTTGCAGGGATAACTACCTGGAGACCAAGTATGGATTAAGGAGATGTGTCTGGTTGTAAAGTTCACAAGGGCAGATTATGATAGTTAACGCTGTGTGAATTTAAGAATGGCCCAACGGATGGCGCAGCATAGCTCAGGGGGCTTCCTGAAGACACACGAGTCACCCCAGGTGTGAGCGGCACCAGCCAATAAGCTTGTAGCCTGAATGAAATGAAAAGGGGACAGAAGGTTTCGGGTCAGCTACTTCCGAGGAACTCCAGTCTTCTCCACTGCAGTGCAGACCTCTGGGCCTTCCAGCCTGGAAAGGATAAGCAGTGTAGACCTTTGGCTACCAAGAGAACTTTCCAGTGAGCTCCAGACCGTCTACCTTGGGACCACTCAGCCCTGCAGTGCAGACAGCCATCTGTATTCTGCCTGGCAGCCACCATAAGCTACCCTGGATAGCCTAGGAGTACA